CCTTTTGATCCTTTGCAGGTTGAAACTATGTAGAAAACTTATGAATGCCGTATGTGTATCAGGCAGAGGAGTTCTTGAATGTTGTGTTATGATTGATATGTCGAGTAAAAGGTTATTTGTCACTAACTGTCTTGTTCTTAAAAATGAAGTGAAGTCTGTTGTTGAGCAAAATGTTTAAACCGTAAACAAGTATCAATAACTTGAGTGCATTATTTGAATCAAAAGTTTCGTACCGTCAGATCCTATTATTTCATATCTTCTTTCTTGCTTTATACACAATTTTCAACTGTTATTACTTTTGCCTGTCGCTTTGTGTGCTGCTGTAATCCATCAGAACGTATGATACAATTTTCCTCTTACAATTGTTGCTCTCATATTGCATGCATGTGTAGATTGCGTTCCCTTTTTCTCTAATATGTAAAACCAACGGTGACTAAATGACAAGATGGTCCAACCAGGTATAGGTAAATGATAGTGTGGTCCAACATTTCCTTCTTGCAAATAGACGATGAACAGAAGACAAATTATAATTTTTATATGTATACCTATTAACCTGATTTTTGATGCATGCACACTTATATGCATATCATAGCGCACATTCATAGAATTTTATATGCTTTTGCGTTTGCGAGAAAGCGACGTTGTATCAAAAATTCCTTCGTACATGCACACTCATATGCATATCATAGCGCACATTCATAGAATTTTATATGCTTTTGCGTTTGCGAGAAAGCGATGTGGCATCAAAAAACTCCTAACAGAATCTTTGGAAAACACAAAAGGTCCGTAATAATCTCCTAGTTTGTATTTGGAATAAAATGTCGGACCATCTTGCCATTCAGTTGTGCGTGGTAAAAATTTTTAATTTTATTCATATGTAAAACTTCTTAAGCTCTTTTGTTGCTTTATTATGTGCAAATATTTGTCTCGCATTCCACGCTTTGTATGTTTTCACTTGTAAGCATTAATTCGTCTTTTGCTTTTTCCAGTGAAAGAATGCCATGGTAAAAAGTTTTAACAATTCAAAAGATTTTTTTAAACTAATTTTGCAAAACCAACTTATATACGTGAGTGTAAATATGTTTCATGAATTTAAAGCAGTAATGGAGATGAATGAATCTTTACAAAGAATACTTTCTATGTTAAAAATATAAGTTTAGCCTTGAAAAAAGTTTTAATTAATATAATTCATTTTGTCGTTTTTAAAAAGCAGTTTCCCCTCGCTTTCAATATCAATATATCAATAACTAACTCAGTCCGGCAAACATTTTTTACACATTTTCTGCCATTATTCCTTTGTTTATTCCGGTAAACCAAAAGTGGAATTGAAAGTTTTGTCTTTGAAAATAGAGAAAAATCAATTGGATCCATATCAAGTACGCGCTATTCTTATTAAATAATGTTTGCTGAGTTAAAAGACACAATTATCACCTTTGTCCAATTCTCTGATCACTAACTTTTTGAATGTATCGTAACTGTCATCGAATGTCGAGCAGATCAAGGCAAATCTCTATTATTTCTCCTTCTCTCTCCCTGGTGTTCATCAAAAACGTTTTCTGTGGGAAAAGAAGACCTAGTTACTCATTCGCAGACAATAGCAGTTCGTGTCATTCGTTTCCGCTCATCAGGAGTTCTAGCAGCACCGAAGTGCACTACAACCCTTGCCTGATGAACGATACCCTGAATCGCAAATCGAAAAAAAGGTGAAAAATGAGTCAAACGAATAGGGTAACTTTTAATGCCATTAAAACAAAGTGCTGCCTTTTAATGCGCAGAAGAAGTGAGGAACAGCCGCTTTCCTCTGGAGTTGTTAATGTAAAAATATTGATACCTATTGGCAATGAGAATACAAGATAATATTCATTTTCGTAGACATTTATCTTCTGCGCAACTTGTCGTGCAGGGTATATTAAATCGGTGTAGACCTTTCATTATACCAATAGATTTAAAATTATTTTCTAAATCCGAATCGACTTGAAACTTGGTTGTATGTCTGATGTACATCCTACTATAGTCTTGCATGCAATCCACCAGTCGCAATTTCCATGATATTTAGAAAAAGTTTAGTACGCTGACGTGTTTTAGCTCAAGGACAAACGCTTTTGAAAATACTACGGACCGCTTTTTTCGCCATATAAACTCTTACTTAGAAACCTTGTTATATGAAAAAAAAATTGCAATTTTTAAAATTTTTCAAGAAAAATCTTTGACTCATAGTATTTTAGCATTCGACATTGGTGTGAAAAGTTTTAATCACATGAAGCAATTTTTCGAACCCTGGATATATATATAATAAAAAAGGATAACTTTCAATATTCTTTGAAGAAGATTCGTTCTTAGTAACACTTTGACATAAAAGCGAAACTGGACCACGTAGGTCCATTCTTTCGATCCCAAGCCAATATAAGGCCAAATATGACTTTATATGCAAAAACGGTCTAATTTTTAATATCTAATATACCTATTTTTAAGACCGCACCACATATAGGATGTCTCATCAAAGCAAATTCTTCCATGGTTTTTTATGACGGAAGCAACTGGAAATCAATAAAATCTTTGACAGGTAACTTAAGTTTGCTCAATTTAAATCATGTTGACATTGGAGTATTCTCCAATAGGAGAGCTTTCATAAAAATTATGCATTAACATGAAAATAGTGTATATTATGCGACTTACTATAAGGTATCTAATGGTTGGCATCGCCCAATGTAGCGAAATGACACCAAATTTAACAAGATACGGTCAACTAGATGAAGATTCTTAAAAACGCGAACACGAGCAAATCATTTGCATGCTATTGACTATATATATTCTTACTCGAAGTGATAAGCGATTTGTTGTTTTTTGAAAGGTTTAGTATACTTTTAAATGACACTTGTCTTCGATTGAATTTCTATCAATTGTATATAAGAGATGATTGTTACATATATCCCCACAAACTTAATGTATCCTATACCACAAATTTGAGAGCGTATAAAAACAATAAGTACAAGGTTGGAAAGGACTGACTTTCGTAAAATGCTTAAGCCTTAATGACCAAGGTAAAGGCATAACACTTGCTCACAACTACTACAGCCGCTTCCATATCTCTACCTCTTTCCTTACTTCTTTCCGATCGTCACAGTAGTATGCGAATAGGTGACATCCCCTGAGCGATTGGTTATATAACAAAAACAAAAAATAAATAAATAAATAAAACTGGTAAAGAATACTCTCCACGTCAGTATTCTTGTCAGGCATATTACTACTACGTAATTGCCCATCCTGGCATACAGTTTTATCCCACAATTAATCAAATCATACGATCTCTGGCTTTTGCAATTCATTAAAACTATTCATGTGCGAACATGTCTGCCTTAACTTTATATGTTTGCTTTACTCATACGTCGTAATCATTGCTTTCTTTCACTTACCACATGTATATGATAGTCTACTTTTCAATGCATGTTTAGCAAATTTTTAGCACAAAATCAAAGACACTACATACGCGTGCTACTACGAATGATTGAAATCAAAAATTTGATTCTCTAACTAATGACAAGAAAAAAATACTTATTCACAGGGATCACAATATAAACTGCATAAGCAAGCAAGTTTTCTGATGCATGCACATTAATCAATTGGATTAAGTTCTGCACCTACGTGAGTGTATGTGTAAAATTGCACAATATGTGATCAAGTTTCAGTAGAGAAAAACAGAAAATGTTTATAAATAAAGTTCCACATAATAAACCTGGACGCATAAGTGAACTGATTCCAATTATGTTTACAACTGATGATAAAATTTGATTTTCTAATCGATAGCACATTGCTTGCATACAATCCAATTCAGTAACTGAACTTGTTCAAGACAGAAGTAATTAGGATTTTTTTTTTTTTTTTTTTGCAATTAAGTAAATTGCACTTGTTTTATACAGACCCACGGACGCTGTGGTTGCATTTAGAACAACTAATAACAAACAAAAAATTATTGTAAAAAAAGGCCAAGTAAGAATATCCTATTCGGCAGTCACCGAACTTTCTATACCCTCACAGTTGTTCTAAAAAAAGTTAAAAAAAAAAAAATCAATTTCTTATAATCTTGAGTGGGCGTGGTCGATTTTTTCCTATTTTTGTAGAATGAAAATGTAAATTTAAATCGTGTATCTGTTGTAATTTACGGGTAACGAAAAACACAAACAAACCGCAGCTGTTCTCAATTTTGGTTGCATAATGGATTTATTCTTTGACCGGCTTGGGGCATTTGCAAGCTATTTTTCAAATTTATAAGCGTTATTTTCATTTTTACCGACGGAAAAATATTTAACACAGATACTATAAGCATGAATAGATGGACAGACGGACGTGCTTAGGTGCGTTCGGATACTTGGCAAAAATGTAAATATTTTATGGGGTTCCCGAACCTTGCTTCTAGACCTTGTAAAGATTTTGACGAAAAAAGTAAAAATTTGATAGTTAACAATATTGAGTAGGCGTGGCCAATTTATGCCATTTGTACACAAGTCGTATAACATCGCCCACAGAAAGTACGTTCACGTTTATATAGCTTTATCTGCTGCAGTAAAAACAGAGATGTTTTCAGATTATCGTTTACGTGGTACTGTAAGCATATCTTTCGACCGATTTGGCCTATTTTCAATGTAAACTTGCTTACAAGAACTTTGAATGCTCCTCCCAAGTTTGAAACCGATAACTTCAGTTTTGCGACCAGGGGAATGTTTACCGCAAACCGTTAGAAACATGGACAGAGTGAGATGCTTAAATCGATTTAGAATTGCTAATCGAAAACAAGTACACCTTATGGAGTCTACGAAGCTTTCTTCTGAACTTGCAAGCAAACTTTCAACATAGCATGTTTCAATATTAGGATGGCAACTCTACCGGTGCCTCTTTCAATGGCAACCATGAATTGATAATTTAAAGAACTGTTGGAAAACACAAATTTTTCCAACGACATTACACAAAATTATTTAATTCAAATCAAATTGAACGCGTTAAAAATGTCGTTTATTATAGATTTGAAGAGAGTGTGTTTAATATGCCTACAAACGGGAAAATTAATGCGCGATATATTTGGGCAAGATGAAGAAAATCCTGAATTGCAAATATCATTTAAAATTGGAGTTTGTTCAAATATGAAACTGGATTCGAAAAACAAACGGTTGCCTGATAAAATTTGTGAGTCTTGCCTGGACGAACTTCAGATTGCTTGGCACTTCCATCAAAAGTGTGAAACAGCTTTAGCGATATTCCGCCTGATATTGCGAGATGCAGATGATACAGACATCTTAGCAGCAGAGAAAATTAAAGTGCCAGAAGGACTGACAATAAAATGTGTGGAAACGGAGACCAAAAATTTCTGTACGACTACTAGCTCTCGCGAAGCCGAAATATATGAAGATGAGCCAATTAAGAGTGACGAGCTAGAACGGGAAAATAAGTTTGATTTCCATGCGGAAACTAAAAAATTGGAAAGCGAAGATGACGATCACATTAGCTCAGCAGTCACCAGCCCTTATCAGGCCGAAGAGTACGTGGAATATTATAACTCCGAAGACGTTATAAATGAGGAAGCTGGGGCTGAGATCATTGTGGAAATCCAGGAGGAAAACTTTAAAACCAATACACTACATTCATTCAAAGAAGAAGGTCCATCTGCAAGAAGCTGTAGTAGCAAATTTAATAAATATTTGGAAGATAATAATGATGCACTGGTTACTGATAATCCTGAAATTGACAAACAATCAACATCCGCACGCCATACTAGAGAACGTCCCCGAAAATATTACTTTAATACTGACGAGAGCAATTTAAATCCGTCACATTCAGGCCCTGATGATAGCCGAAATCAAAATGAAGACAATATTAAAACGCCGGCGATGACAATACGTCAAGTGCGTACGCATGAAAGTAAAGTGTCCCCATCGAATTCCCCGCCGTCAGAAATATGTGAAATTTGCGGTAATAAATATCGTTACCAGCACGCTTTAAAGACTCACATGAAACGACACAATAATGATAAGCAGTTTTCCTGCGAAATGTGCGATAAAGCTTTTATATCTCATGTTGAATTACGCCGCCACATTCGTGTACATACCGGCCATAAGCCGTATGCTTGTCAATATTGCGACCGCCGTTTCTCGGATTTCGGATCTCGAATTAAGCATGAACGGACACATACTGGTGAACGACCATACAGCTGTAGCACATGCGGTAAAAGTTTTGCTTATGCTCATGTTTTATCGGTACACTATCGTACTCACACTGGCGAAAAGAAATTTCGTTGCGATCAATGTGATAAGGGTTTTACGAAGAAGTCATATCTCCTAAGACACATGCACCATCATGCCCGAGCCAATGAAGAGGCCATTTTAACAACCGAATTCATCGAAGGAAGTGAAGAAATGAATGAAGATGAAGACGGTACGGAAATTCACGTATTGATGGGCGACCATAATGATGGCGATGAATTCGTCGTAAATGTTAGATAAGTTTTGCAAGTAAGAAATGAAAATGAAACGAAAAAGAGAAATATTGACTTTAAGCGGTATAAACAATAAACAAAGAAAAAAAGGAAAACCAGTAAAAAAAAAAAACTTTAAGAAAGAGAAAAGAGGAGCGAATTGAAACAAAAATTTGTTTCGTTTCGATAAAGTTTATGTAAACTAAACGAATATAAGAAACAGAAAGTTTGACGGAAAGAAGAACGAAAGAATGTAAATTCTTGAAGATACAAGGAAAATAGAAATGTCAGTTAGCAGAGAAAAAATAAATAAAGGAATTCGTTTATGCTCAAGAACAATAATGATAGTAAAAGGTGTAGACAATGGACCGCAAGGGTTCCATGCGTTTATTAGCCAAAACTATTTCATTTAAAATAAAGCTCTTTTACGACAATTGAAAAAAAAAAGAAAACATTTTTTCTGCGCAAGTTCCCTATTCTGCCAAGCTTGTTCGATTTTAAGAGAAATCATTATTAAATTAAAACCAGAGAATTGAAATAAATGCTTTCGCAGAGTGAGTGTGTGTATTGGTACTTACACTTATCGTTTGTACTGAGGGTCACTGCTTGGCGTATGCCAAAGAAGTAACTGTTGACTTTCTACACTAAAAGCAGGATTTTCAGATGCCCATGCACTAGTTACAAAAAAGCGTTGGATGGAGATGGTATTTTCTTGCAAATTAAAACTGGTTTTGCGCAGATGAAAGCTAAGATTAGTTCGAGTTTGGAGAATAGTCTGATATGAGTCTGAGTATCTACAGAAAAGGGATAACCAGGATAATCGTGGTCTCCAGAGAATTACAAAGTAAACATTTGCAGCAAAACGAGGAAGTTGGTGGGAACATTGCTGGGGTGCGGAACTAGATGTCTGTCGGTCAAGTGGCTATTCAACAAAATGAAAGCAAAATTGGTTAACATGGAGCACCAATATAACGTGCACGTTTGACGCTTGAGCTGATTTGACGTTATAGTGAGTGGCTTGCCAGATGGCATTGAAAACTTCGAAGAGTTCGTTTGTGGATTTACAACACTACTATTATTTAACCAATTAGAAGATGGGTTTAGTACAGCATACATGCGCAATACGGTTACGGTGCGGTATGCCAAAGATACTTCCATTAAGTTGAGTCTCTCTTTAGAAATCTCAATTTCTTACCTTCGATGAATGCAAATAATAATTTAAGTAGGCGATAACAACACATTTCGTTCCCTGGCCACGCCTGTAAGACTGGCCATTCGAATTATCAAACCTTTGATTGTATGAAAATTGGCAAGGCAAGCGGACAGACATCCTGAAAGCGATTAAAATAATTCTGAATAGGCCAATATAACAGGAGATGCGAATCAATTTGAAGTCTCTCTGGATGTTATATATATATATATACGCACATAGTTAATATATGTTGTAGCACAAGCTTGTAGGGTATAAAAATTACGATGTCACTCTATAAAATATTACAAAGTTTTATATTATCTTGAGCTGACAAACGATATTCCCGCTAAGTAGAGGATAAAGATAACCTTAAAAATTTTCCGTCATAGTATCTGTTATTTTGAGCTATGGCAAATTTGCTTAATTGTGTAAAACATGTTTACTGACGCGAATAACTTTTAATGAATGTTTTTGCGGTTGTTAAACAAAATTTAAATGAGCCATTGCCATTTGTATATGTACATAGCAAACCACTCAATAAGTATCCGGTTTAACACATGTATGTCAACATTATTGGCAATTTTATATGATTTCTGAATATACCTAATTCTCTTTTTACACTACAGATCCGTTGCCAAAAAATTCGTGTAAAAAGATAACCCTTTTGCTTTTTAACACGTGTTAAGTTAAATTTCGTATATGACACTCGAAAGTCGAAAAGATAGATTCCGTGAACGGCCAATATCATAAAGATACCGTGGATGCTGAAAAGTGTTGTCGCCTTAATTCGGAATTTGAAGTTGTTCCAAAAAACATAAAAAAAAGTGCACAAAGACCGAAAAATGAAATTCCGCGGGATAGCTGATATCCCAAAGATATCGAAAAGCAGTCGCTTCACCATTTTGCATGTACATTTATCCGTGAGAAAGATTTGTTCGAAGTGGGCGCAGTGTTTGTTCACTTTTGACCAAAAGCAACAACTTTTTTGAACCCATTTATATGAAATAAAAATCAATTTTCCTCAATAGATTCCAGAGAGAGAGAGAGTCAAATCCGCAATCAGACGAGTGAATACCAATCAACCGAAGCCATCGACGACGTTCGTGCTTTGGTATGTGCTTAATATAATATTTATCGACTATCTTGAAAAGGGCCAAAGGATCAGTAGTGAATATTATAAGCATGCGTTTGAATCACGAAATCGCAAGAAAAAAGACAGCAAGTTAGATCGGAGACTTATTGAGTGACGTAATATAGAGCATTTGCACGCAGGCATCTGTTTATATTGAAAATTTGATCAGTCATTTCACATCACATGAATATTTAATAAATTTGATGACTTGACATAATGTTTATACGCACATTTCATGTCATTTTTCCATACAAAATATATTTATTTATAATTATTGTTATAATAGAATGCAGAATATTTTACACTTTTGCCTGGCTTTAATCAAAAATAATGTTTCAATGTTAATAAATGAGTGAAAATAGATTATCACCGAGAATAAATGACAAATACGAGCGACCGTAGGTAAAATACCATATAAATGTGAATGTTTATGTATGCATGTGTTTGAATGTGTGCATGAATTTGATTGTTATTTAGATGCTTTTTATTGGAAAACATTTTGAATTGTCAAACACCATCAAAAATGGTAAGCCGCACGTAGGTATCCGATTGCTAGCCAACAACGAAAATCCACAACAAAGTCAGCAAATTTGTATAATAGAGTGCTGGGATAATAATAAAAACTCACGGTTAACCTTTAATATTAAAGGGCGAGCAAAGCATTGAAGCGATACGATGGGAAAGCGTACAAAAACGAAAAATTCAAACGAATTTCATAAACTACTGAACTTATTACTATTCCACTTGATGAAAGAAAAGAAAGTAAAGGAAACGCATGGAGGGAAAATGAACAGTCATGTCTTACATAAAATTTGATACTGATTCTTGACACTGGGAATACTACCTTACTACCGTATGCTTTGTATAGCATAAAGAATTTATTAAATAATATGAGTTTGCTGGCTGCAAGTACACATTTCAGCCATATATACGTTATTACGAATTACAAGAAAAGATCGTTATTCAAAACCAATGGAAAGTTAACAGTTCCACTTACAAAGTAAACAATTTCTTACCGCATATTTCAGCTCGGGCGCCTAGGCATATAAGATAAAGTAAATGATAAACAATCTCGTAGGCTATCAATCAGAAAGCAAGCACCAAAGGTACAGTGAACACAGTTATATTGCACTATATAGTGTTCATAAGCAATGGAGGTCGAAGTAATCTTATATAATATATCAATACTTGTAAGGTATAATCTATTGCACTAAGAGTCGAACCCACGACCACTAACTTGTCAGTTGTGAGTCTTACTTTCTGGACTAAGTGGTAGCTTATGGCGTAAATGCGGGAAATTCGTCTCTTGCTATCCAAACAATTGGGAAAGTTTCGTTTATTTATAAAAATAATCAAATTGTATGCATACGACAAAGGGCAAACAATATTGCTTCGGGTACAAACTAGCCGCAATTGTTGAAGAATACCCATAAAAGTGTAAGGAGGTATTTCTGGTAGAGTTTTACATACATTGCTGAACGATGAGATTTATATTCAATTAGTCAAAACATTTGTGAACCTAAAGAAGTAAGCATCGGAAACCCCACAGGATAGTATCCTTCATTAGCACCAAATTCGAAATCAACTTAAGCATATCCGTCTGTTCATCTGTCCGCCTGTGTAATGCCTGTAGTAAACATTTTCCTTGTCATAAATATGGGCGTGTCAACTTTAACGTTGGCAAGACCATAATAAGTTCTTTTATGAAAATTGGTATTGAAATTGGAGCAAATCGGTGGAAGAGCACGCCTACAGTACAGGGTAAACTGAGAACACCTCTCTTATCAAATGTATTAAAAAATTTTCGTTTTACTGAAAATTTACAAGCTTCTGTAGAAAAATCTACCTGAACGCACATTCTACGGCAGACGCTGCAGTCCTTGTGCATAAATGGGATAAATTTGAGATGATGCGCGCCTACCCAAAAATTTAATTTTGTTTTTAATGCCTTTATAAGATGCAAAAGCCGGCTTCAAAACCCCATAAAGTATATAAATTCCTGGCTAGTTTCAAACTCGGAATGCACCTAAGCATGTCGGTTCGTTCATCTGTCTATCTGTCCGTCTGTGCAATCACGTAGTATCTGCAGTAAACGTAGTATCTGTTGTCATGTCCGCAAAAATGAAGATATCGCCTACGAATTTGCAAAAACCTTTAATAGTCAGTTCGGTCAACGGACAAGCCTATTACACCAACAGGCCTATGCAAGAAAAACTGTGAACACCTTTGCTTTCCGTATTTGTGTTTTGTTACTCATAAAGTACAATCCATACACCATATAAACTTCCGATTGTGGACCCGATTGTGTCAAGTGCAAACCCGCTGCATTGCCACACGGTTATTATGCGGGAATAAAATCTGTTCGAAGCACTTTAATTGCCAGCAGAAATACCATATCACTTACTGTTAGGATGAGTTAGAATGAACTTATTGCAGGTGTCGTGTCTGTTGGTTGCTTGAAAATTAAGCAAGCTGATTAAGTACCGATATCTGCGGCTTACGCTCTATTCCTTATAAATATCTTCATGGAAAAGGGGGATATCCAGGTGTAGATAGGAAAAGAAGTTGCAGAAAATCGCCGTCAGTACTTCGACTCTATCTTTAACCCTTAACGCTATATTTAGCGGGCATAGATAATGTCAACACGAAAAAATGGGGAAGAATTCATCCTGGTCATAGAAATGCCACACATTGATAGATTCTC